TAAATCTGTAGTATTCCATTTCTTAATTTTCTTTTTCCCTCAAATGGTGTGTGCATGTTTAGCGTAAACGTAAACACCTAGAGGTCCAATGTTTTAGTAAGTGAATAGCGTCTAATTAATTTTCTTTGCTCCTATTTATAATCTTAGACGATTATGGCAACATGCAAGGCAACTTTTTTGCAAACGTTAAGTACAAAATAATTTTGTCGCAGTCAGTAACGTCATGCAAGCTTCGTGAAAATTCACACAATCTTTCTTGAAATACGTAGCAAAATTTTCCCCAACAACAAATCAAAATGTGCACTTCAAAAAGGCATCACTTTGTGCCCCAAGTTGACAGCGTGGCGCGCACGATTTTCTCAGGTAGAAACAAGACAAAAGGACTGCGTTGTTAAAGGTTACCAAGGGTGTCACTAATGTCAGATTTTTGGGCTTACCTTTTTATTAACGGAATGGTGGAGATGTTTGTTACTTAAAACACGAATGCCTACATGACCCTAACGTCTGTTAACTTGTGTAAGCCATGATATTTCTTGGAAAATGTAAGACATTTTTAAAGCATTCCGAAGTTGAGCCTTTAAATTCAACTTATTTTAACGGGAGCCATTCTGTAAAAAATAAAAGAAAGGATATTTTCCTCCATTGTAGCAGCAAAGATGGAGCCTAGTCTAACCAAATCCTTAGTTAAACTGAACTTCAATGTTAATGAAACAGCTCGTGTAGTTGACTTTGAAGCCTTTGCAAAGTTTTAAAAGCAAATAATTGGAGGAGTCGTTAATTTGTGGTAGTGAAAGTTCACGTTACTGAATCCCATCACGACGTGCTTTTCGTGTAGTATGCTTGAATTGTGGCCATAAGTCAGGCACACTTCCGTACGAGTTACATGATTTAGATCGAAATGGCTTGTAAGGAATGCACTACCATCATTTATTGGCTCCCCATAGAAACGGAAAATTCAGTTTTCCAAGGACATTTTACAATTCCTTTATGTCAGTTTATGCCGGTTACTGTCTTTGATTGATTTTAAGCACTTGAATACAAATTTTTCCCAAGGCTTAGCACCCAGCCATTAGTAGGAATCGGTGAATTTTTGTTCAACTTCAGAAGGTTTGCGCTACCAACACTATCTTCTTGAAGCTTTTTGTTGGATCTGAGTTGATTTGAATTTCCGTGCCAGGTCACTTGTCGAGCCGAGGAGGATGAGAAGTAGGAGGAGTCAAAAACGAAAATGCAGAATAAAACAAAGATTCGGAGAGATTAAAAGACGCATTTTAGGAAGTTCGTGCAAATTCTAAACTCTGGATTCAAACTACTGTAAGGTAATTTTATTAACATCATCTTAATCATTTTAAACGGTAAACAGGCAAACGAATTTGTGGCGTTAATTGGGACTACATTGGTTGTCTCATCCATTTTTGCCATCTGGTTGCAACGTTTCGTAGCCCCCTCCCCCGAGATCAATAAAAATTTTTCTGCTTTATCACCTTATACTTCTTCAGGTTACTAAGACGGAAACTCAAAGTCGAAGAAATGTCAGATGAGCGTCTACAAATTGTACATTCACTAAGTCCCGCCTAATTATCTCTCATGGAGTCTTGGGTAATTTGCAGTTGTCTCCACCAAAAGTTGATGTCCACTAACCCACATTACCAAAGTACCGCCAGTTTGAAGTGTCTGAACATAAGCTACTTCCAGATTTGCAATAAGTGCACCTTTATCTTTACAAACATGAAATCCAAGCCAATTATAGTTAACTATTAAAGCACATCAATGAAAATTGGGAGAGGTTTATGGTTTGAAGAAAAGTATAATCCGAATAGCCAATTTGCATGTTAACATCTAAAGTATGTCCCCGTTTCTCAAAGTCCCGAAAAAGCATTAATAATTGAGTGGAATCATGCTCATCATCACGCGATATCGCCACTCTCATCTCCGAACTCACAAGTTGTGGATGTAGGACATATTCGACCGAATAAGAAATTAAGTTGACAGGAAATAGTCAAAAGGGACAAGTATTAGTTTTAGACCCTAACACAACAAAAAACACCTTGACTGTGGCAGCCAACTTTTTATCGACAGTCCCTAGTCGCGAATGTGTCAACCAGGAATGTTAAATAATTAATTTCTTTAAAACCTTCAACCATTTAATAGGGGGGCTTAAAGTAAAATGACACAAAAATGCTGTAGGAAAAGTCTTTTGATGATAGAAACTTCTCATTTCAAGTGGGAGTTAGGCTTAAGCGATAGGGTCATTTAATTCGACAATTAATTTACTTTTCCATCGGTGAAATGAAGGGTCGACTCTAGGACCCCTCAAATTGAGTGGTATATACGGAAGAACTTATCAATAACGTGGCCGTAATTACTGAATTTGGTGTATGATCGTAAATGAGTTTATACCTGCCAGTATTCGGTACCCTGTTTTTTTCTCTACAACATTATTCTTTTCATTTCTTTATAAGTGACTCCATGTACTCAGGTCCAAGCCGACCACATTACAAAATATGAGATCTGAATTAAGCCCTTTTACAGCTTACAAAAGCCAAATACCACGTTGAAGTCCTTGAAAGGCCAAAGAACTTATAGAAATGGCTTTTAATGTAATCGAAATCGGTCTTGTGGGGCCGGCCGACGTAAGAAACCTAATAGTGGAAGTGAGAGACACATTTGGTAATTCGTGCTTGAGCAAATAGCCTTCTTAGCAGAATATGAAACACCATGTTTTCAACCCTCTGCACTTTTTTTACTCACCGATACAGAAAAAACACCAATATTTGCCTATTAGTTCCTATTATAATGGGCTACATTACTGGCATAGTAGAAATTCGTCCGTAGTTTGACAGGTGTATGGAGAAAATTACAAGGTTATTTATTATGAAAAGTCACTGAATTGCAAATTTTTATTAGCACAAACCAAACACCACTGAGCGTAGTCCCGCTTTCACCAAAAATTCTGACTCAAAACTAAGTCTGCATGTGAAAGGCTGGTCAACACATTTATTAGGACTCTGGCGCAAGTTAAATGCAATACATTATTAGACGCGGTGGCATCTTAAATGAATAGCGTAAATCCAAAATCCTTTTAGGCAATTACTTCCCCTTTCAAGCCTGGCATATGCAAATTCCCTGCCTTAATAATTCCACAAAAGCCTCCCATAAAAGCGACGCCTAATCGAGGAAGATATCAAAGCACCGCCAGGATTTTCGTCAGTTGTCTGAGGCTTGATGTCCGAAAAAGCTATAAACCTAGTCAAAACTCCCTCCTTAGCAAAATAGCTTCAATTATTACAAGGTAACAGCAAATACTTGTATGTCTGAAACCCTGTCCCTCTCGCCACAATGCCCAGCATTTGCACATGGGGATTAAACTAAAGTTGCACGACTTTATCGCAGCTGCATCTAACAAAGCAGGGGTGTTTGAATGGAGAAATTAATGACACAAGGGATAGGATAGGTAATTGTGAGCTGTCTAGTGTCAAAATTTGTACTGGTTAACCAGACATAAAAATGATCATTTCTGAGTTCATCGAGCCGGCATTTATTAGCGAGTCTGAAAAATGTTTAAAATAATCGTTGAAATCTCTGAAAAGTGAGAGTTCATAAGTTTATTGGGTCATCAAATAAGTAAATATAATGTTGTCATTACGAAACCCTTCGTGAAATCGGGATTCTGGACAGCGAATTAGACATAAAAGTTTTTTTTCGCAAACTGGTTACCATGGTCTCCATGTATGCGTGACGCCAAAAGGCCGCGCAAAAATTTCATGCGATAATGCGCACAAAACCGAGCCTCGGTCGGATGTCCCATGCCGAATGTTGACTACGAATGAGGCTCTTTTTTGACTTAAGGAAAGAGGGCGATTGGATCTAAAGTGCACTTTGATATCTGAAAAAGTTAGAAAGATGGTTACAATTCAGCTTAGCTGGGAAAACACGTCCGGTTTTCTTCGGCCATTGTAATTTTAAAAGCTGCTTTCACGTAATTCTAAAACTGATCCTACTGAAAATGTCCGTCTTATCTATTTCAAATGATTACATTTTTTGCTCACTGTTTTGGACATTTCAGCAAAATGTGTGAATTTTTAGTGCTTTCATAACTGCACATTTTGGCTGGTCCAAAGGTCATTATAATCATGTTTGGCTAAACAAAGTTAGCATTGGCTGTCAAAATGAATTTTCTGCTCCCAGTCTGTCAAACAGATGGTCGTTTAACTTACTTTCAGAGTTATTCAAAAGCGTCTATTTTCCCAGGCTCAATCCAAAAAGTACCAAATTTCAATTTGGTCTCATTACTAATTTTTATGCGGAAAATATTTGGGAAAGTTTCGCTTTAAAAGTCGTGTCACCAAAAGTGGGAAGAAGAGCACATTTAGAGGATAAATAGGATAAGCTATAATCGCAGAAAGCAAATAAGACGATGCATGGTGAAAATTAACACATGAATGAAGTGATGAATACGATCTTGGAAGGGATACCTTCAATTCACCGATGTTCATTTTAAATCAGATTCTTAAATGCTGCCATTTCGTTGCAAAACCCTAACATTTGCGTGGCCTGCTGAGAAGGGTAGGGCCGTTTAATCAGAAAAATGAATGCTGGCTGAAATACTTTGTTGGTGTTTGAGTTGTCCCCTAGTGATTTGCCTTGGCGTGGCTTCTATTTACAGCTCCAATTTTCTTACTGATATTGAATTAGAGCATTGAGCAGATTTGAAGAAAAGTTTCATTGTGCTATTTTGGGTGATTTAAAGTTAACATTACGCATCGTTTTTGACTAAACCTTCATTTACTTCAATATTTTACAGGGAAAAACAGTTTCTAACAATCATATCAGTCAGCGAACAGCAAGAGAAAACATAACTGTTGAAAATTCTCTCACAATAAAATATCTCCAAGCGTGAAGGGCAGCACTTTAGGCTAATCATCAAGGTGCTTCGATGGACTTTTTCAATTCCAATCATTTAAAGGGGAATAGATAACTTTAAAGCCAACTATCAATTCTTATATCACTACAAGAAAATGTTTTAAACATATAGAATACACAACACATGGTTGTAAATCCTTGAACAAGGGTAACTTCATACTTTTCACAAAAAAATACATGCCATGAAAATTATTTTTCTAAAACAGGATAAGCAACAGTTTCGCTACTCCTGCCGTTCTAACGAACCGTTCAGGTAAGAATGGACAAGTGGGAAATAGGAAATTGTAAGACTTTGATAATTTGTTTAACTCCTCGTTTCACTACGTTGGTGGCAGCGGCAAGCGAACCCGATGCAAAAGGACAATTACCCTGATTCCCATTCCAGAGTGTCAAACTTCTATATGACGGAAGAAGGGAATATGCTGTGGACGGGCGAATTCGTGGAAACTCTCGACAGATGGACTGAAAATGCCGTCTACTTTTGGCAACTAACCCAGTCCCACATTCTCCAAGAATGCTATTTACAGATGAAGCAATACTAGCTGTGTACCATCTGAAATAGTTCATTATGGAGCTGTCTACAGTACCCCTTTAAAGATTTTAACGAAGTGAACACGCGATACCGCCTCTACCCCTCTACTGGCTGGATGGAACTCAGGCAGATATGTCTGGGTAGCACTGAAGTGATAAAAAGTGACAAGGCTGTGTAGACACGAAGCCTTATCCCTGCGAAACTATTTTAAGCCCCTTCCTTTACTAAATGTCTACTTTTAGACCCGTATTCTTACAATTAGCAACGGACATATGAGATAGCCCCAATACAGTTCCTGGACAGGACGAAACTCCAGATGCAGTGGAGGTGTAAGGGGGATCAGTGATGCTGAAGTCAGATATCTTCCCAGTTGCATGTAAATTCGGTTGGCTCGTGGGCGGTTTTCTTGTAGCTCCGACTACGTTTAGATGGCCGGTGGGGGAGGTTGACCGTGGGGCAAGGCCGGCGACGATGCTTAAAAGGAGAGGCGGCTATGTAGTATTTTAGTAACTAGTTTAGCTCTTTATTTCGGTTTCAAGGGTACTTAAGGCACCGCATTTATGCTTCTGTCGGGAGGAATGGCCTGCGGGCCATGCCAGTAGCCCCTCAGTTCATCTGTACACTGGCAATACATGTACCGCTCTAGCATAATGGTTTTTCGCCTTTAATGTAGTCTCCTCAATAAAACATCAAAACCTATGAAAACTAAATTCTAAATTGGTTAACACATCCTTCAAACATTTCCAATAAAACTTGGTTGCTACTTGATTAGTAAATGCTGCACTCTCTTTCTGTTAATTCGCTGATACCTAAACGCAGAACTCTGAATATTCATTTACGCGAAGATAACCCATCAAGCATCCTTTGAAAACCGGACCAATTATTTGGTCAAAAGATGAGTTTGCACACTAAAAACTATGGTGCTGGGGCCTACCGGCATGGACCGGGGGCAGTGCCAATGGACGGAAATACACTGGCCAAGCCCTTCAGTGCCCGCCTAACCAAAACGAAGAGTTAAGCAAACAAACAACGCATTGCACAAGCTTTCTCAAAATACAGGTCTTGCCAGGTCATATTGACCTAGAAATGTTTGCAATCGTGAAAGTGTAAGGACTAGAAAGTTTTATTTTCATTCACTAAGTTTGTACGTTTACAAAAATCGGGTAAATAAAATATGCTTAAATATCATTGGTATAATTAATTATTGTGTTTTAATTTTTCCTAAATGTGACCAATTGAAACACATGGAGATAGCTGTTACTCATTTTAACTGTACCACTATAATTGCATAGCTGATTATGCAAAATACAACTGGGTTTCGCTGACAGCGAATTCTCTCCCCTACTTCGCCACATTAGTTCTGCGTTTGGGAACCTCGTCTTCCATAGTATTAGTACTCCAAAAGTATTACAACTGACGTCGTAAAACCGAAAGCCTTGAAACGGGCTTAAGTAAAATTAAAGCGATGAATTTTTACGCCTCCCAACTTGCAAGGGCCTGAATGCGGCAATACCAAATGGATTATTTACTTACATTTGTTGGAAAAGTGCTTATAGCCTGGCAATTTATTACTTTCAAATCTACCTAATTTCTTCTGTATAAACACCTGGAGACAGTTCTACTGATTTATATGTGCTTTGTGAACTTCTCAGCAGCTGAACGAACAGTTTAAAATTTGCATTCTAGAAAAAAAAATCATGAGAGCAAAGGCTTCATGCTTTAAATCAAGACTCAAGCAGCTCGTTGCATCTTCGGTGACCAACTGTAGGCTCAGCCATGTTGCCGGCTAATTACTGAAATAAATGTGCATCAACTGCAATGAAAGATCTTTTCAAGTCTAGATCCATAATTCAAATCTGTTTGAACTTTGAGCAAACAGTACGACAGATGCGCCAAGTGCTATGCGCCAACACCTCCCAAAGGTTGGGACGCAAACAGAGCCGGAGTTCAAAGATTTAACTAAACGTAATACAGCATCTAGCGACAGCAATAAAGCAGATCAAAGTAATAAAAATTGATGGAATAACTGCAAGCCGTGCCGTCCAAATGTTTCTCGTCTGACTCATCGATTTTGAAATGTCAAGCGCCCTAAATATGACAAACCATGACACGGCCTAACTTGAATTTACTTGCCCTAGCTGGTGTTTCTGCTAGTCCATCTAGCCTCATTGGGCAGGCCTTCTAACACCTGTGTGAGAGGCATTACAGGACACTCCCTGATGCCTTTGGACGCCATCAACCCCCTCATGATGCTCAGCTCAAAGTCAATAAATATCAGTTTATAGTTAATAGTCGTAGTTCCTACACGAACTCTTGAACTAATACATCTATTTCTACTAATTTTTAAGCAAAAACTCCCAATTTATCTCATACTTGCTCTAAGATATCCAGTGGGATGAAAATTACACACGTGTCACCTTCAGCTTAACAAAAGCCAAATTATTCCATTCGGCGTCGGCGAAACCGCTGGGAAGCGTTGGGTCAATCAGTAGATTATGAGGCACTTGGAGCCCTTCAGTCATTAAGTCAGACAGCATCCAATGCGACTCTTCTCAAATGTGACAGTAACACTCCTCGGATTGGTGCTTATTGCGTCACCCTCAATAAGATCCTATGCACCACATTTGAGCCAGAAGACATTGAAAACAAAATCAACCGTTCGTGTTAATTCTGTAGGATAAAATTTGCAAGATGACCGCCTGGAGATTGAGCTTGATGATGCTTCAGGGGCTAACCTACGATCGAATTCGTTTGGAACCTTCTCCTTGGGACTTTTCCCTTTGCGTCCGGAGCGTATGAACCGATTTGATTAAAAATATCAAAGCCAAATTGGGAGTTTACATTAATCATAATGATGTTTATGTACCAAGCAGACAAATTTATGACGAAAGGCTGTTTTCACTACCCAAGAAGGTTCAGTGTTACAATGTTTCACCCAACATAGAGAAATACATCTTTGGTATCACAAAGTTTTTGTGGTTTGAATTTCTGGAAGATAAAAGTAGCTAAAATCCTAATCTCGGGTCATTTTTCCTCTCTTTATCGCTACAACCCTAAATACTTGCAGGGGATGTGGCTATCTGAGGGGTTCATTTCAGTATTAATCTCTTCTGTTTGCAAACTTTACTGAGCTAGCGAAACCCTTATTCCACCTCTAGTCTCATGTTGCTTTCACGCTGCCTGAGGCCGTTTTGCACCTCCCTCCTCAGAGGTTAACCTTAACCTTCTTCACAAAATACCTCACCGACAGGTAATGGCGCAAATTTTAGAGCCAAATGGCTGTCCTCTGGTCGTAATTATGCTCAAACACACACGAATGCACCATTCGTGCATTGAATTGGCAAGAGGGCAAATTTTTGTTTGCTGTTTACATCACGACTGTTACTGTCCATAAAGGCATAAAATCCGTTTAAACTTTGTACAAAACGGCAGAAAATGTCTAATGCAGTGGTTAGACAATGGAGTGTTAAAACAGCTGCTCGCTTTCATGTCATCCAACGCTGCAGTGTTAAGTTCATATCACGTAATGATCATGCCGCTTTACCTTACTGCTGCTCACTTTAACAGCTACTAACATTTTCGAGAGAAACCCCGATTTTTGGCATAAAGTAGTATTGCCAGGCGATCCTGAGTTGGTTACAAAAAAGATGGACACAAAATGTGCAGTGAAGATCCTCAGGTTTTAACAAATGTCTTGCGGAACTCTCGGATACGCATGACAAATTACTGCTTTGGCGATGGGATCGTTAGTCGCTCTACATTGAGATAAGCAATTTCGAGGGTTTTACACTCCCACAGCCTGGATATGAAGAATAAAAAGTCTTTAGCCCTTCCTAAATGCCGGCTGCCGGAACTCAATAGTGGCATCTACAAGATTTCCAAAACTGTGTCCAGTGTTAGCACAAGGTCCATTTAAGGCCACCTCAGTAGACGACTTGGTCGATGGAGTTGAGTTTCATTGACTACTAATCATACTGATCAAGGGTATACAGTACTTGTTCGTCCAGTGCAAATTTTACCCTCGGAATACCACAAACATCCTTCACCCGAGAAGAAATGTCGCGCGCATTATTGACCGCCAATGGGACGGATTTTGCTGCAGAAAAAGTAGAAGAGTGGATGAAAAGCATCGGCTGTCGATATATAACGGCTCTCAGACATCCGGATTACAAGTTTTCTGCAGAAAACTCTGTCCGTATCATTTAAAGCACTATAAATTTCTTTAAGCTTTGCAACTCTGCAAAATTGAAATGTGGTATGTGCGAATTCCCAATTCAATGGTGCCCACTCCCTATCCCGTGGCAATCTTGCACGTCTATCCTAAAGTCGTGTTCTAAAGCCAACCTTATTTGGTTTAGACTTAGCCGAAGTCTTGCACTTAGATTAACGAGAAGGATTATTCTCAAATATATGGGCATTTCCATCCGGCAAGTTCTATACTTCGATGATGACTCTGCTCGCCGAAGACATAGAGCTCTTCCTGACCTGTTGCAAGTTTTACAGCTGCTGCAGAAGGCGGAACTCAGAACGAATCACAGCAGCCAAGAACTCCAAAAAATTGAGTGCAAAGCAGCGACATGACTACGGAAAACCTGACTTTCATTTGGCGCATGACGGTTGTGGTAATTGTCACGATGCCAAATTTCCATACTCTTGTTGTACTACGCCGCTATTATCGTGCAATTTGCCGCTCATGATGCAGATCGAATCAGACTAGAATAATTCCAAGTTTGGCAGTCTTAGATCTCTATATCATAGAGGTAAGAAAGGTATATGCAAAACGCACAATCTGTGTGACTCATACTATGTGGGTACTTTGATTAAAATTGTTAAAATACTCTGATAATTTGGTTAAATCTTCATTGTGGTATTAAGAATACTTAAGGCTCCACTTTACTTCTGCCAGGTACTGATAAAACATTTGCTGTCCTAATATTACGACCAATTTAGTGTAAAGGAAAAGACTGAAGACGCTATACCACCGTAAGATTTTAATGGATTTTGCTGTGAAATGTGTCAACGATTGTTGCCAATGATTGCTTTTATGTGCTCAAAGAATTTTTCGAAAAACGCACTGTACGACAGTGGCATATGTTTTCTAATTTGATTGATTGAAATCTCAGGACACACTCAAAATACTCTAATCATACTTTTGCTTAGTAGGTTATGTTTTGTTTCAAAAATGTTATAATAAATGAATGCTTGAAGGTAAACGTTTCATAATCTTCATGCCTTGATATTTATTTCTTAGTAGTAAGCATGTACATAACAAACAAACTTACAAAACCGTTGCTTGTTGTATTAAATAATTTTTTACCAGTTTGTTTTACTAAGCCATGAGCTTTGCTCGTGTATTGAAATGGTTTGTGGCATCTGGATGCTTGTATCGTTTTTGTAAAAATGTGTGGACTTTTCAGCTTGAGGAACACATCGACTAGTTAGAATCATTGGTATCTGTACTATCGTTCTTTGTTGCATGATTTCCAGTGCTAGGTTGTCTTATTTTTCCTTTCAGGTGTAATTATTCCCCCCCCCCCAAAGTTTTCCTTAATGACTCTTTTTTCCCCCATCTTTTGCATTTTTGTCTATATTTTTGTGTGAGCTTATCATACTGGTAATTTTTTGCTACTATGCTTTTGTTGGGTCTTTATGCCACAACTTCATGGTTCCGCTGAACCCCTTAATTTGCCTCACTTAAAGTAGATATGCCATTTCTCGTTATCTACTTATGGGCTGTTTATTATTGCAATTTTTGCATTATTTTGTTATTTAAGCTTTTTGACCTATTTTGTTTTTGACATCGCGTTTTAGTCTCTAGGTACACATGCTGTCCTGAAAAACTTATTAAAGATTACCGTTAGTTTTGTTGCGCTGAGCCTACGCAAACTCGATTGTTGATTCAATTTGGTTGTTCACTTTAGCTATGAACGAGAGTTTCGATCACCTGGACGTCATGGCTCGGGTGCCAGTTTTGGCAGAGAGCGAAGATATGGAGTCCGAGGGCACAGATTTTGAAGAATCCGAAGTCTCCTCTCCCATCGTCGTCGATCGATATGGGTTTAGTGGGGGCCAGCAGTACACTGATCCCACCAAGTAATTTTTACTTTCTCACGTTGACTATTCACTCTCCTCTTCTCCAGAGAATTTCTTCCTCCTATCGATGTGTTGCGTTCACGCGAGATGAAATGGCTGGATATGTGTCGTAACTGGGACTACTGGTCTACTACGGGGATAAAAAAATTGCGAGAGCGTTGTCGCAAGGGCATTCCGGATTCCATGCGTGGTGAGGCCTGGCAACGTCTGGTGGGTAGCGCAACCACCAAGTTCGAACAGACCAAAGCCTACATCGCCGAACCCATTGAACTGCAGGATCGAGCTGTGTCCCCACTGCGCAGGTTCTTTGGCAGTTCTTCTCGTCTCAGCGGTTCTCGTAGCCTCCCTACTGTGGTCACCAATTCGCCCAGCACCGGTAGGAGCCGGGTTCTTGAGGCCTCGTAAGTCCACTCACCCATTTGGTTGTTACTATATATGCGTCAGCCATGTCAGTCACAGTCACATTAGACAAGGGATATGCGCACATGTACTGGCTCACATTGTAGGCTCTTCTATATCCCCGAATTTCTTTACCATCGGTGAGTCACAATCTAACTGCATATTGCTGCACCCCTAACGACGAAGCGGTTACAAAGGTGTGTCTAATCTATTTGAATTTTTCGCGCATTTACTTGTTTTTCTGTTTACTCTGAAAGGTTTAAGTTGCTTTGGTATCGGAAGAGCCTCACCTATCTATTTTTCCGTGCGTGGAAAGGGAAAGTTCTATGCATAAACATTTAGCAGCCTGGTGGGCTTCCTTTGTGTTTACGTTTGTGAGTGTGGCCTGTCTGCGACGCCCATAAGCTGAATAGAATAATGTTGCCTACTTTCAACTGGTTTCGCTCCTTCATTTGTAATTAAACGGTAGTATTTTGAGTCTTCTCTGAATGCGTAAGAGCATACCACTGTAAAAGATTTATTGTTGGCGTATGAAGCGGTTAGAAGGCTAAAAACATGGACTGGAGCCCATTACACCACGTTAATAGTCATATTCTACAGACTGTTGACCATTGTAGCTAAATCTGTTGTTAAACGTATGCAGTTTCACCCTAAAGCTCTTCCATTTTAAGCAGCTGTTTTATTTTCAATATTTCAACTCTGGAGGGGGTTTTTGATTAGCTGTTGAACGAGTGCAGGGTTCGCTATATTGGATTTATTGACAACGACGTTTTCAGCAGTAACCGGATTTTGGTGAGTAAATGTGTATCTGACGTGCCTACTGGAGATACCTGAAAGGTGTCCAGATCATGCTTTCAGGCAAGGGATGGGTAAACCAGATATATGAGGCTTTTGGACCGATTTGAAAGCGAGTCTTGGGAAGGTGGTACCAACGTGTAGATCACAACTCCTTTCCTTACCGATTCTCATTCAAATAAGTTCCATAATATTTCATCTAAGATGTTTTTAACACCGTTGCACTTGTGCCTCATCACCTTCTGCCTTTGTTAACTCCTGCACTTTAATTTTTATTCGGTATTCTTAATTGGTGATATGAGTGACATATGCACTTCTTGTGATACCTCCTTCTCCCTTTTTGTTTCGTCCTATTTTTTATTTTATCCTGTTTTTGTCACTTATTTGGTGCTTTGCTATTTTACCTGCAGGAACCTGGAGATATCGATTTGAATGCTTTCGAGAGGCGTCATTTTGTGCGCTTTTTGTTATAGAAAGGGCGTCTAGATATGGATGGTACATTTTTAAAGCCTATCTCAAAACTTACTGCCTCCCCCACCACCTAAAGTCATAATTTTGTAAGTGATTGGTTGACCATAATACCTCGTATAAAATTCGTGAATATGCACATCGTTCCTGTCGAGCCAATTATTTTCATTTTAAAGCATACGGATTTTTTGTCGTTTCACTTATCTGGTTCAGAAGGAAGAATTTTGGCTATGCAGGAGTTGGTCAAGAATTTCGGTGAGTTGCCGACAGTAGGTTAGGTGAAAAGTTATTTCTTTGTCGGGTTCTTAAAGATTCCTATCAGGAACCACCCTAACTGGGAAGGAAGTACTCAAGCCAATGCATGCCGTCCCCCGATCTTGTCTTCGTTATGCTAGCTACTACCTTTTGATATTTTAAACCCGTATTTTCTCACTGCTTCGTTGTATTATCTGTTGTTTTAAATTGTCTAAAGTTAATTAACTGATTGAAATGCATATAGAAACTGTAAGGTAGTTAGTTCGAATGATGTATTTCCTATGCGTAGATTGTACGATTTCAGTTCCGTTGCATTTGGCACGGGTATTTGAGTCAATTAACATTATGTGGGTTTTCTATTTTGTCGTTGTGTTTATGGCTATCACTTTATACCTACTCAGACGCTCAGCAAATAGCTTCATTCGCTGGATTATCTTAATGTGGATTGATCTAACCTTGGAGGCGGTAGAGTTCATTGCGTTTCTCAATCTATATAGCCATATTAAGACTTTTATGTGCTTTCTGAGACAGGGATCTTCGGATGGAGTCCCCAGGTTTGAGTCAGCTTGTTGAATACGTCTTGGTAAAAGTTTTCGCATGTTTGTCTTGTCATCACAGTTTATTCCAGGCCATGATTACAGGTCTCTAGCAGTCAGTGCGGCTCGATGTCAACTGTCAATATTGTCTCCCAGTTGGCAATACTAATAGACACACCGGATTAAACTTGTTTTATCATCATTAAATGATCGAATTTTTCAAACTTTCAGTCATTTTAAAGTTACTGTACCAAATCTCTGCGAGGGCTTCGGAGGTTTGGTCTTGTTGGCTATCCCAACTTTGCGTTTTCAAGAGCGTTTACTCATCTTTCTGTAATGTGGAACGTTTTCTTGAGCAATAATTTTGCGTATATCTTGGCATCTCGTTTCCCATTAAAAAGCAGTCTCCCTTAAATGCCTCTCTGTGAGTGGCTTATTCCCAATCATGAAATCACTACTCTGATTATTTCTTCAGTGTTCTACTATGAACGTCTTTGCGCCGTTATAATATTACTGTTACCTCCTTTCCACTGTTCACCCGAATATGAACTTAATGAGTTTTTTTCTAAACTTGCGTTTTGATTCCTGTACGCCGGAATTTGCGGTAAAGTGGTGTTTATATCACCTCAGGCATACATGCGTGCACTAGCCTGTGCACACACGAAGCGCTGTGCGTTTGTGTTTAATCCCAAAATCGCACATTATCTTTACCTGGCCAGCTCTGTATCATCGTACAAACGAGACACGACTTCTGTGTCATCAATTGGGTAGACACTGCCAATTTAGTGGATTGAATATGTAAAAGGAAGATATGGTCAACTTTGATAATATCGTTGTTTGTCTTGAGTTTAACATCCTTAAGTATTTGAAGTAAATGACCTGTTTTTAATTTGCTTTTTTTGCTAGCACTTTCTGTGCACCACTTTCCTTCCGCTTCATCCATCGGTTTTTTTCTGTTGGAATTTTAACAGAATGAAGGTTCGTGGGGAACTCTGTTAATCAACACGAAAACTTTTCTCAATAATCTTTCGTTAATTTTACAATTTCGCTAGATAATTATTTTCCTCACTTACTCCTAGGCTTTTCTGCTAGGTGATTTTTAAGAAAACTACTTAATACAAAATTTTGGAAAGAAAATATTATGATTTTTGCAGCGGTTTTTTTTTATATCGTCAAGTGTCCGACTCGTCATGCACCAATTGGAATTACTAAACACCGCAATAATGGATTAATTTTGATTTTACTGTCCACTCAATTTTTGCGATTTCTTGGGCTTTTTATCTTCCTCCAGTTCATGTCATGGTCTTTGGCAATCGTCGTTACCAAGACTGTAAAATTGGTTCTTTAACAGATGTTAATGGAATGAATGTGTCTTTTTTTGCCTCTGCAACGCCCAAATTCCACAGTTACAAGTCTTGTCCACTCTACATCGGTAAAATTACGTCAAGTGACAATTTCGGTCTTCTCATCCACTTTAAGAAAGCATGAAAGATGCCTTATTTATAACGGGAATCGCCACATCCCGCCTAACAAATTAATTTCCTGCAACTCTATTATGGCATCTTTGTTTCAGAGAGCAACTTTTAATTCAATTTTTAGTTAGTTTCGTGTCAATCGAATTTTCTTCTGAAATAAATACTTGAACTGGCGAACGGTTTTTCCCCTATCCGATCGCTTGCTTTCTAATACTTGTCAAATGCTATATCGGAAATCGGTAGAGGAGTGTAATCATTGGTCCTCTTGAAGCGTCATGCAGCACTAAGTAATGTGGTAAAGGTCGATTCATCCGTTCGACACGTTCTTAGTGCATTGAGCTTCTCAGAGATATCCTGCCAACTCGATCACTCACAATAATTTTGCAAGCTCCTAATCCGTGAAATCAATGAACTCTTGTTTTGAACTCCGTCTAATATGCAGATGGTTCAAGAATCTACCTTAAATTAATTTATTGGGTTTACTTTTAAAAGAAAGGGTGAAGCTCCGCGTCTTCCTTCAAGAAACTAGGTTGTTAATTAGTTTTCCGACATATCACTCCGGATTTCCTGCAATTGAAAATAATTCTTCAATGTCGCCTTTACTAAATTGTCCATCGAAACGCATTGACATTAATCACGAGTCATTACATGTTTTCGGATTTTTTGACCTAAACTGCAAAGAGGCGTTTCCTGACCGGTGATATCAGCAGTGCGATTTCCTCCAGCTCTTGCCGTGTGTGAGCAATTGAATAGGGAAAGCCAGAGGTCGCTCTTTTGTTAGGCAGCAAGAGACTGGACTGACTACTCATCGGACAACACCTTGAGTAAGCCTGTCAAGACTGGAGGGTGCGTCTAGGTGCGTATTGTTTTTTTGTATATAAGGAATCCACTGTAAAGTCTTATTCGATTTTTCGAAGGAAAAGGCTCTCACTGAATTTACTTTTGGATTGTCTAGTGTAATTTTTGTTTTGGTTTTAAGTGGTGAAGACAAGTGACATACTTTCCTCAGTGAGATGAGATGGGAATCGAGAGACAATCTTAGCAGCAATAAACGTTCACTTTATTCGATTTTAGGTGTAAAAACTGCAATTTTTTAATTCTTACGGTTTCACCGTGGCTTTCAAGTTGACTGAGGGTTAATAGGGGTATTTAGAGTGAGAAGCTATAGCAACTTCGATTAATTTAATATGGCAAAAAAACTATTCAAAGACTAGTAGGGACGTTTTTACACCTCCTCCTGAACTTTAGACAAGCGGTGCCGCCACGGAGTTTACCACCGTTAATACCTCATTCTGCTGTCCCCAACGCTCCATCTAGTCCCTCGGTCCGCCGCACCAACTTTTCGCGTCATAAGGCGTCCAACCAGTTCAAGTCTTTCCGCAAGTTTAGCTCCCTCTTTCGCCTCAACTCCATCACCGCTACTGTCTCTACAGTTGCCGTTGACTCCGTCGCCTCTGCTGACACTGGCAATGAGGCATCGGTCCTCCAGCTGATGGACACGGAGGAGACGGATGCGTCGAACTTTTTCCAGCGTGGTGAAGCGCTCGTCAGTCCCGAAGGGAGTGGGGAGCGTTCGCGCACCTACAGTGCCGCCCTGCCCTCCGCCGCCTACCTTGGTATCGCCATTAGCAACAATAACGGCGGTGAGGCTGGTGGTGGGGACGAGGGTGGGGGTGGAGGGAGGGGTGGCGGTCCAAAACCCAGTGATAGCACCACCACCACTACCTCTACAGGCGTCTCAATGGACGCCTACTCTCTCACCAACTCGAGTAACTTCTTTTCAGTCGCTGAGAGCTCGGCTGAGAGTTTGCGGGTGCGTGATTTTGCGTGACGAAATTTGTTGCTGGTCGGGAGCGAATTTTTTCACTTCGTACTCTTTGCTCTGTGCAAGCATTCTCGATTTGATAGGAAATTTTGCTCGAAATTGTCTTGTAAAAAGAAATATTTAGGTGTTTCCCCCATTGTCTTGAGGGTTTTGGTTCGAATTTTTTTAATTTGATCCAATACGCCTTTTCCATTTTCACGAATCTTCCATTTCGGCCAATGCCCTAACTTCCAGGATCTGAATCTCCATCTGTATCGCATAAGCTAATGGTTTTTGAATCTGCTCAATTGTTGGATTGCAAAGAAGTGCTTTTTGTTTTTTGCATTTCCAACTTAATCCACACTGCGTAAATTGTGTATCATCTGTTCCCACTTCTACTGACTCTAAGCCGGGAACCGTACTACAAATTCCCGAATTAGTTACGAGGGGCGTTCACGTCAGGCCGGAACCTCTAGGATTACAACAAGAATAAATTTTCGCGTATATAAAATACTTTTACCTCCTGAAATGGTCCTTTGCTATATTCGCTTACTTATTCCAGTGCTTACTTAATAAATGGAAAGATTAGATGATTAGTCACTAAGGTTTATCGTGTCAATCAAGAGTGAAAGCTTTCTTGGTGTCCAGTGCGCGCTAGCCTGTAGAAATTGCAAACATTCGTAAATAATCTTTCTCACCACCTCTGCAGAAAGACTCGTCCCTTGTGTAGTTTTGTGACTGGTTAAGGAAATGGGTGATTTAGGCTGAGATTCGCCATCGATAAACCTCCGACCGCTTAAATGTCTTGCCCCAATTGAGCGCCTTATCGTCGTAAGATGCTTAAAGTCTCTTGTAAATATCGATGGGGTTTACACCATTATCGAGTGAATGTATCACATGCTGCTCCATGCACGCATTACTACTGTCGTCTTCTGTCTGGAGCGACTCACAACATTCGCGCAGACTACAATTGACAGGCCACCGTTGTCGCGTGCTGATATCTGCATCACCGCCATGGCAGCGTCCCTTTTTACACCTATTAGGTTAAAAGTTCTAGTTTGAAATGCCCTCGTAGTTTAAGAAGTAGGAACTTTCTCAGTCCCTTGAAAGCTTCTTTTTAAACACTATTCAGATGCTCACTGTTTATTAACGAACGTTTACTCGAGTGGTCAGCGTAGCTGCATTTAAGCAATCCATATGTCGCTGAATCTATCATGGGAAGAGTAAAAGAGTGATGAATGCGTTGATGAGATAGTTCCGTCTCAACCATAGGCTTCAGGTGCAGCCGACTCCTCTCTCAACTCGCCCGCCTTGGCGCTGCACAGCCGTCTTTTCCTCGATGACGGGTGCGGTGGTGAGGCCTCCCCCATCTCTTCACGATTCTCCACCCTCTCCTCCACAAACCGCTCCTCCGACGGCATCGACGTGGACGCGGACAATACTGGTGACAGCTCCTCCCCACCCCTCTCCCTCCTCATGCTACGTGATCAGCACATCCTCGGAGCCTCCTCCGCTGCTGCCGCAAAGGAGCGTGAGGCGACTCTGGTAGCACCAGCTTCCTCCTCCCCACCCGATCCTTACGTGCTCTACGCCTCTTATGCAGCCCGGGAAGGCGATCCGGCGACATGCGACCAGATACGCAAGGACATTCATCGCCAATTCCCCTTCCATGAACTCTTCTGCTCCAAAAATAGTTGCGGGTGAGTTGCTTTTCGCTTCAGTCGTGGAAATGATGTCACTATGTGTGAGGGGAGGTGGAATAAGCAGAGGTCGGTCAATAGGCGTAATTTTTAAATCGTTAGGGAGGTCAATGGTCCCTTAAAAGATTAGTGTCCTCAATTATACCTGAGTAATAAATAATCCACTTGAAGTATATCAATTTTTAGGCGGCGATGAGACCAGCCTTTTTTTGGTTTTACTGGGGGACAAAATTAAAGAGGTTTTAATTACCAGGCATAATTGTTGATTTGAGTCGAATAGTTCATTTTTAAATTAATGCCTTATGTCATATTCAAGCATTGAGGGATTTTTTTCGTTCATTTGAACCACATGTTTCTATTCGTTGAATTTTGCTCTCCAACATTGTATTTGCTGAGTTTTTTTGGTTTTGAGACCTTGGTTCTACTGAAAAATTGAATGCTACATTTAAAAGATTGGTGATTCAAGAATCAGTTTGAGGTGGATTTAAGAGGATCTAGTCTTCAGGCCATATTTTCAGGTCATCCATCAGTTGGACAGTAGGCTTCCATTGCACTCGGGTATTGGAGGTATTTACTACTAGTTTATTTGTAAAGTTAAAATTGTTTTCCCTTGTCGAATTTGAAACGTTTCAAGGTGGCGCTTAGGTTTTCAAAATGGAAATTTTTGTGCTTTTTACCGTTTCCTTACTAACGCAGCAGAAGCACCATGTGTCAAAAAAGTGGGGTAAAGTGTTTTTATTACTAACCATGGCGGTTCAGCTTCATATGTTTATTTGGCAGATTTCAAAGTGAACGAATGAAGAATTATTGCCATGTTACTCAATTATTGGCTATTTATCCAGTGAGTGAGAGGCATCTCCACCTACGACATACCGAACTGGCTAGGATAATATAGGGTTGGACTCCTGGGTACAATCTTTAGGCCAATCAACTGCAGCCTTTAATCAAGACTTAATTACTTTCTTTCATCATGCTATCATAGGCTGATATCGAGTAAGGGTTGGAACAATGTGTTGCAGTTAGCGTTTGGGAAAAAACTTTACCAACACCCCATTTAAACTCTGTTCCCAGATAAAGGCCCACCAGGTGTCCACAAATTTTCACTATTTTGCAGAGAACAGTTAGTTCAGAAAGTTATGTCGCAAGACGATTTATTTCAGTTTCCTCTCCACATTCACCGGCTGCTATGGTTTTTACATGAAGTGCAGTCAAGCACATTTTGTGTTGTAATATTTTATTTAACTTGGCAGCTAATTCGATCATTGGAATCCATAGAAGTACCAACGCAACTTGCTAATATATTATTAAAGAGGCATTTTGCAGACAGCAATAACTATAGATTTAGGGGATAAGGGACGATTCCCGTAGAAGTAGGCTAGAAATTAGCCAAGTAAACTATTTACCATGATAAGAACTACCAGTAGAATGTGAACGATGGTTATTAGTCAGGGGACGGAAATCCAAACTTAATCACAACAGTTTTATGCGTAACTATGCCTTTTCTCCCTTCTATTAAAGTCCATTTGAAATATTATTTTTCACAGGAGGTCTTTATCAATTTTATGATTGAATTAGTAGATATTTACGTAATTGTAGCTTACAAATCAATGTTAAATGTACCTTAATCTTGGTGATGTGTTTGAAAAATACTTCTCTTCCTAGTTTCACAAACAAATCGATATTTGCTTACTCCTTACTCTACTTTTCAATAAATCTGGAATAAATCTGGGAATGAATGTGGCATTTTAAGGCATTTTACCGTATGAAATTGTAGGTTTTTTCACAAAAATGGAAACCTTTCGTACCGGAAGCATTCTCTTCGGATCGCCGGCCTCCCGAGTTGAGGATTTTGCTAGTCACTTTTATTCGCACATTACTACGTGAGAATGTCTCTTTGTGCCAGCCATTGTTGTCATCCGTGGCTGGTTTCTCCACTGCTAAATGCTTTCTATTCTGTACTTCTCCACAATTTTGTCGTTTAATGGATCATCCTCCTTTTCTACTTTCTAAAGTCTTTCTTCGCATTGGCAATGAGTGAACTGCGTATTCACCTTCAGTTTAGAGTGCTCCAAGCTGCTGCGACTATACTGTTCACCTTCTCAACGAATATTGTTGGGCGAAAGTGGTCGCATTTCCGTGATTATCAGATGTGTAATTTATCCAACTTTCGAAGATTTTTTTTTCGCAAGAGGACGAGCACTTTTGCCTTGGACCTCATAATCCATGAGCGGTGTTACTTAGCAATTTCTGAGGCTGGAACAATTATTTTGGGAACAGTTTTCAATGTTATTATGCTGCTGAATATAAAAAAACCGAAAGCTACTTTTAGATCTCTTAGCTTTTATCTATCAGTTGTTTTTGGCATTTTTCGGTATTCGTCCCTAGTTTTTTATTTACTGATTGGAATGAAATCCCTTTACAGACATGAAATGGCAAAAATTAAACTTGTTTTATGTGAGTTCTCCTGATTTAGTGAAACACTATTACCATTGTTATTGATAGGCGTCTTTTGAGAAAGATCGTGTCAGTTTTATGCATTTTACGTAAAAATGTTTACATGCTTTTCTTATAGAGCTTCCAAAACTTATCCAAGGAGATGCTTACACAACTTGGAGTACTTGATGCTATTCTTTGGTGGAGTATTTTCTCTGAACCAAGCGATTAAATCTTGGCTTGGTAATGCCAACTTTTGAATAATCGACCGTTAGATCCCCGTTGTACTATCATAAATAATATAGTAAGAATTAATGATTTGGTATGGCGTTGCATATCTACTTCAAGCTTCATCATCCCCATTTTACTGCATATGCAACAGTGCGATGCTCGTTTGCCTATATCGTATGGCTGAAAAATGCCATTTCAAATGCGTATCACGTGCATTTTTTGATTCCGCGTTTTTATTTTCGTTTGTTTGGGGGAGGTGACTTCATTAGTTTACCTGTTCCGGTGGTTCCTTCATCTTAGTTTCTATTGTCAACTGTAGGCGAAAGATGACACACGATCAATCTAGCTAAATCATAGCATGTAAGTTTCAATGTTTCTGAATAAGGCGTATAGTTGGTCTTAAACTATATGTAACAGGATTTTTTATCTGCTTAAGCTATCTTAAAACTGACAATAGGAGTAGATTTTCGGGCATCATTAATCTCTTGCTTATTTATTTTGAATATGTTCAACTAATGAGGCTCTTCTTCCCCATTACTAACCAACTTTATCGCTTCTGCGCTTGTGACAACTTTAACTCCAAGTCATTCTGAGGACTTAGATTTATGAGATTTGGCTCCAATAATTCAAAAGAATGGAGGCTTAGTGAAGGTCGCATTCTAGATTGGCATGTCTGTATTTGTGTTCGGGGGTTCTTAATAAGGAGTTCGTTTCTTGCAATTAAACTTCCCTTGCTTTTGAATAAGTAAATTTACTCCACTTCTGTCTTGAATCTACTCATTAGTATCGCCTAGCATTAATCGAGATCATGTGTTTTCTAATTTCCTGCTCTTCATTGGGAAGGTCTCCAAGTGACAGCATCTCAGAGTTCACACCTGTTGCTACTAAGTGTATTCTAACCATTTGCAGAGTCACGGGTTGTATCAGCCCAAAACAGCTGATTAGCTAGGTTTTAATCATCATTGGTCATAAAGGATGCTAAATTCATTCCTATAATCACTACACTGATAGGTTCTACTGTTTTCATAATGCTAGTGCCAAGGAGATACATTTAAACATTCAAAATATTCATGATTATTAATAATCAGATGGATACGACCGTCAGGCAATCTTCCAAATCTGAACTCAATGCAGGCATGTATGCTCTGTCAGATAATTGAATCAATTATGATTATTCTTGATTCGGCTATTTTGGTGAAACATTAAAGTTTCTGAAAGGGGAAGGATTAAATACGCTTCAGGAAACGCTTGAATTCCTAGTGTGTTTTTTTGATGGGATGCTCGCATTATTTGCATGAGCCACTGATCTCCCTTGTAGACGTGAAAGCCTCTTCTCCATTTTGAAGGCCTACACTATTCGGCATCCCAACAAAGGTTACTGTCAGGGTCAGGCACCGCTGGCAGCAGTTCTGCTCATGTTTATGCCTGAGGTGGAGGCTTTCTGGACCTTCACGGAAATCTGTGAACGCTATCTTGTCTCCTACTACGACGAGGGTCTGGTAATTTTCTTAAAATTGAAACTTTTGCAGGTCTCTACGACTCACCATTCAAAAGCATGGCGGGTGATAATGCAAAAGTCACTATGCAAGCTGGTGCTTAGCGCGAAATGTGCGGTTTGATTGCAAGGTCACCTTAGTGGTAAAGTCTCTTGAGCTCGTGGAATTTGTAAGCTTTACTTTGTGTCTATCATTATTTACTCCTGCATTTCAATTTAAATGGGTATTACTTGGTAGTAGAGGAAGTGATTGTGCCTGTGTTAAAAATAACCGGAGTTTTACCCTCAAAGTGTTTGCTGTAAGTTTTTTGCCTATGGTCGAATGAAGCTCTCAGAATTCACGGGTTCTAGAATGAAGCTAGAATCCTTTGGGTACCTCAAGCTCGTTGCAGCTGTCGTTTTTTTAAATGATAGATTGTGCTAATAAAGACACTCAATCACTCTGTTAGAACGTTATTCAAGCTTCTGAACGTGGCTAAATTTCTATTCAGGATAAGAAATTTCAGCCTTTCCAGTTCGCTCTACTTACTGCATTTTTGTGGATGGTTTCCCCTTCTAATTGAGGGTACTTGTGTTGTTAATTTATTAGTTATGCAAAATCTGCGTTAACTCATGTTTTATGGTGTCCTATTAATTTGGGCTAACTTTTTGCATCAGGACGTCGTTGAATTCACCGACGTCGGGTTTTCGAATTGTCTATTGGATTAAATTGTATCTTATGAATCAAATTGATTATATTCTTGTGCAGGAACTCGTTCAGATTGATGGCCAGATTTTATACGGTCTTCTCAAACGCCTCTTTCCGCAAATTCACAAATTCCTGGTAAGTCCAATTATTCTACTATAGTCAAGTGAGTACCCTTAAGGAGTTCCATAATCTGTGCGACTTTATCTTCGTACATTCTGAAATATTTGAAATCTGAAATACTTATCCTACAAATCCCCCTCACAGGCTATTGTCGAGTAGTTGATTTATTTGGGTTCTTTCCAACTTTAATTTTGGCCGTCTATCAAATTTCGTTTGCTAAGCGGAGAATTTTTACAATCACTTTACAATTTTGAATATACTAACAAATTTCGTCTCGTTTTCACTTTTTTGATTAATTGCTATTCAGTAGACAACAAATGGTCGCAATCTACTATTCAATAGATCATTTATCACTGCGACTCTTGACCCTACTGTCTCTTTGTCAATGGTCATTAATGCTCCCTATCATTACCAACCTTACGTGTCCAGATGAAGCATGGGGCCGAACCGATTATGCTGGTGGTGGAGTGGTTCATGTGCGTCTACACTCGTACACTTCCATGGGCATCTGCTCTTCGGGTCCTCGACATGTTCTTCTGTGAAGGTGAACTAGTCTATTTACCGGAATATTGTATTTTTATCTTCTCACTGAACTTCATTCGAAAGAAGTCGTCATTTTTTTTTAACACAGTGGGGAAGTCGACCGATCGTCAGGCCTTTTCTTCGTATAACCTTTCCGCTACTGATTTGCTTTTTCCCCTAAGTCACGGTTAGTAGGTTAGTTAGTACGTTGGGTATTCACAGGTTAATGTCAAGACTTTGGGTTGGGACGTTTCAGTATCTAGCATTCATAAACATTTTGCTTAATAGATACATGTTTTAATTCCAATACGATCGAATTCCCGTGGTTCCTGAACTCTGCCCGAGTTATGACATAATAGTCCTTTTAAAGTTGTGCATATTCATAGAACTGTTCGGCTGCCTCAGCCCCTCCCACCCAGTGACCCCCTTTTAAAAAACTCAAAGTTGGTATTGTGAATTTTCGTATTACCGACTTGTCGATTTTTGGGAAGTCGATCTTCTAGTATCCATTAATTAGGCAGCTGTTTGCAAATTATGCGACATTCGTGACCATCAGAATACCTTACTTTAGAAGTATCGTCGGAAAGAATCCAAACTATATACTTGATTAAGCACCGGTGTTTTGCTTTATCTGTCCATCGAAAGGGCCAGACACCTTTTAAAATTTAAAAGGGTGTCCGTAAAGTATCTCGTTTTCACTTTTTGACATGTCTGAAATTGTTAATCGCATGGACATAGTTGGTTTCATTATACGCCGTAGCTTTTTCTTCAAACTTCAGCGCCGGAGGTGCCTCTGACGAAGCTAAAAGATGTAGTACTCTATCGATAAATGTTGTGATGGTATGTCAAGGCCAGAAGTACAGACACTATGTTCGAAAATGCACACGATCAATGTGGAGCTCGTAGTACGCTAGACTGAATGTTCAGGTAATGATAGATGAATAAACTGTCGAAACTCTATTCGCATTAGTAAGTCGTCGTCGCTGAATTGTTGCTTGAACGTTATCTCTCCGACTTGCACTTTTTCATTTTTTAAATTTGTCCAAATTTTAACTAGTGGAAACTTCGTCGAAAACTTCCCCATTTAAATTGAAGGCAAATGCAAATCGATGTTTGATGGTGCATTCAAAGTTATTTCCCTCCTTTTGTGTCCTCTTTAGGCAAAATAATAATCTTCAAGGTGGGCCTGCTATTACTCTATCGATGTTTCAACAGTTCCACCTTCCGCAAATCCTGCAGCGGGATCGACGAGATTCTTCTTCAAGTGCAGACCGTCCCCTCTCAGCTGGACAACCCCGAGGAGTTGATCCATGATGTGAGTGCCCTAATAGAGCATAAAATTGCTCTACTTTGCTCTCCAAATCTGCTGGGGTGACCACAGTTATTTTAACTTCTCATCGGTCAAGTATTGCACCAAATTATTAGCAATGATAATAGTGGTAACTTTTGATCGTGACAGTGCATCCTGTAGTTCCGGTGTTTTAGAAAATCATTATCGCCTATCACCAATCTCTGGAGTAAGTTTAATAGTTTCATAAGATCTGCAGGATTCCCCAAGTTTTATTTCGTTGAGCTCCTAAGTTTCAATGTGATTCTTTCGTTCCCTATTACGTTTGAAGCAGAGGAACCCTCGCATACTTTAACCACTGCTTCGCAAAGTCGGTTATGATTGGAGTCTAAATCATATCATAATGCATGATTGAGATATGCCACCGTCCTCGGTCTTTGCGCCGTTCTCACTTTCAGACGTCAAAGTCGAGCTCTTTAAGTCGAAACTGGTGTCCTGGACTTTATTTTTTGATGGGGCTGTGCTCGAGGCTATCGGGAAACTCTGTCAATTTTTGTATTTAGTCCACGTTTCAAAATCATGATTGCCATATTTCGGGCATTTTTTGTTAATAATTTGACATAATCGTTGTGGGTCCGGCGTAAATTGGCACACCTGAGTCGTCTCTTTAGGAGTTATAAGAAAACAATCAGGAAGCAGGTTTAATACCAGCATATAGAGGAGCTAGATGCCCAGTAGTCCAGATTTTGTCTAATGAATCCATTCAATCAGTATGCAAGCCAAGTCGTAGGGGACTGAAAGACCCGTGGAGTTAAGTGGATTACTCAATAAAATTTTAACTATTGAAAGGAACAAAATGCATTGAAGAATATTTCTTAGCATGCCCTAATATTGAATCTTTTTCTGCCATAGATCCTACAGATCCGTATTGACCGTCGTCAGGTGGCGCGTGAAGTGATGAAGCAGAGTCAACGATGGCGAGCCCGAATGAGTGGGATACTCGAAAAGTCTAACGAGAGGTGAGGCGCGCATGTGGCTCTACCTATCTACTCTGTTGCCACCAGAGACGCATTTAGACCGGCCCCACACTATCCGCCTGTTTGGGTGAAAGAGTGGGTCCATGGGTGTGCGTTTGTAAATTTAACATGGTATGATAGACAGCGGCTCCGCCATCTCACTCAGTTGATTCTTGCTTCCTTCTCTCACTTCTCCCTTCTTTATTTCTTCGTGTGTGTTGCTTCCTCTCCTCATCTTGCCTGGCTTCTCTTCTTTTTCTTTCTCCATTTCCTAACGAATGCACCTCCTGGAGTCGCCAGTAGTTACACCTGTTTTGTTCTCCCGCTTTATTGGTTGATGTGGGTTGGGTTTTTTGCCACAAAGTTTATCTCGCGCGACCATTTTGCCACATGTTGCTACCAGAGATTTTTCCTGCTTTGGAGCGACCTTCTTTTCTAAAATGCGGCTGCAGAATTGGGAAACCCATTTATGTTCAGGTATAGGCTTATGTTCGTTAGAAATGTAAACGCTCACCAGCCGAACATTCGGATTCTTTGTGTTCGAAATGAGATACTGTACGTCATCGTACTTTTTTAGACCCTTTAAATGTCGGGGTTTCAAAAAGCAAAATTGAAAATACACGGATCAACCTGGATTTCGCACAATCCTTTGTCTAGTTGGTAAATATTGAGGTTCTCTAGTGGTCCTTGTCATTTTAACCTCAGCCCGAAACAGCTTTCTTCGAGTTTCTAGTAAAAGCAATAGTTGGCGTAGACATTTAGAGACTGAAATTCTCGAAAGTTCATGCCTCATAGTTGCTGAATCCGTTGTCTGCACTTAATCAGAAAGAGGAGCGTCACATTGGTTTACGCTCTAAGGAAGTGCAACAAGTCTCATACAACCCTTTTAAAAGGTTAGGTTGGAGGGATTAGGGTGAAGTTTGTTCGTTGTACTTATTGAGGGGATAAATCGCTTCGCCCACGTGGCTTCAAAGCTCTCAAGCCAAATCATCTGTGGATGCAGGTAAAAAGGTTATTGCGGTTCTTTCGCTTTCACATATGCTCGGGTTAACATGTTTCGCTCGTGTGGGAAGTAAAATCATTGCTACTGGTAGCGGGCCAACGTGGCACAAGTTCAATGTTGCAAAAGGGCCTTCACACAAGTGCATGCGATTTGGGACTATTTGTGGCCATTATGGGAGATTTTGGTGTCTGGTCCCTAATCAGCATACATTTGCACCCCACAGAGAAGTGCCCTCTATATTTGGTCATTCGAGTGATCCATTGGCGATGCAGTGTTTTTACTAATAACAACATCAGTAGCAAGTGTAAAATGGGATTATTTCCTGATTTTTTTTCATTCACCCGCGATCTACCATGCCCTTACAAATATGCAGATATTTTCCCGCGATACCAATAAATGGCAATGTAGCACATGTAAGATTATATTGTGTAGACTATTTTCTGCTTGAAAATAAGCTAGCTGGGGGAACTGCGCGTGATCTCTCATGCGACTGAGGCGAAATAATGGGCATTGGTATAGTGAAGAATAATTCCAACATATTCTATCATGTCATGTTCATGCCTTCAATTCCTGTTCTTTGACTCTGTGCATTCATAGTGCATGAAATCTTACCACAACTCCAGGGCCACAACTAAACCGCTATTCGGTGTTCCGCCAACCAGACAATGGTAAGTCGACCTGTCTTATGGCTAGTGAGACCAATTTTACCAAATATAACTTGCACCTAAATGAAGTAGTAGTAACCAAGTAGTTACTTCAAAAAGATTTTCCGTAGTATTCAGGAATTAACTACTGTTTCAAAACCAAGAATGTATCAATGTCAGTTGACATTGACGAGCGCATCATCTTGTCCCGTACTGGTTTGTTTCCTTTAATAAAGTTGTTTTTAACGTTTTACGATATTGAAGGCTACTTTTCCCATTTACATGCTTTTGAGGAAATTCTATTTTCTAGTTGCATCCGTGGTTTTAAGCAACACTTGCCTAGTTCGATGCACATATTTTTTCTTTTCATTTTGTGTTATAAACTGGTGTTTATGAGCGTGAGCTTCAGATACGGGCGTCATCTATTTGCCAATGTGCATGAGTAAGCAAGGCAATGCGGAGCGTAGATACCGTGATAGTCTACTGAATAAGGGAGACTGTCGTAGACTTGGTGATTCCCAGCCTCGCTTTTTTACAGAATCGGATTGGCCTTCGCCCTAAAGTCTATTTGTCCGTGGTATAGGCAAAGTAGGAGGGAATGAATAAGAGCGCGACTTTCTAGAATGTTCGGGTATTAGACAGGATGATGGAAATTTTGAGAGTCGAAACAGGATCGCTTTCTGAAATTGTAGGCGTTCCGTCATCGATTTGCAATTTGCATGTATATTTGTTCAACAATTCAAAGGAGGGTCTCAAAATTCGTCTGATAGGGTGATGTTGTAAAATTCACCGTGAGGAAACTCATTTGTTCCCTCGTGGAAATATTGAGCCGTTGGATCTGCGTCTACCAGATTGCTCCTAATATAAAGCATCTTGTTACCGTTCTCCCTTGCGAATGAGTTTGGTCTGTTTCCTGACAATTTTAAACGCACACATTTTACTCGCAAGGCGTGAAATCTAACTATTAGCTCGGCTGCACTATTGGTACTGCTGTGACCAAAAAACCGCTTCTTCGTGGCAGGGAGCTGCACTTCAAACTCATCTTTTACCACTCCTGCAACAGACTGGTGTTATTACCGGTTAGTTAGCAAGTTTGCGATCTGTGTCAGCAATAAAATTAGTCCATATCAGATAATTATGACGGCTTTACTTTTTTAACTTAATATATAGTCACAGCAACTTTCTATTAGCAAAATAGTGCCACCCTTTTCACAAATGGTCCTTCGTTAACATTATTTTCTGCCCATAAGAGTGCTGCGACTCTGCTTGATTGGTTTTGGGTTGCTAACTTTGAGCGTAATTTAGTGATACCCATTGACCTCTATTTTTATCCAAGAAATAGGGATTACCCATCGGGTTTAACTTCTAGTCCACAAGAAACTGATTGCATCTATTCACTTTTCATTATCAACATCGGTGAAAGCGTAGCTCTCACCAGTGTATTTTGTTTCCATAGCTTCCCGTGACGATTGATGAAATCCATGAAAGTAATAACCTTATAAGCAGCTAAATGGGCAATCAAACAATAAGAAAAATGCTGCTTAAAAATTTTTCTTTGGTAAGGAGAGTGGTGAACTGTCAACCCACAATTTTCACATCTAGCAGTCATATTATCCAAACCTCAGCTACCGTTCTCCCCCTTGCGATTTTGAACTCATAATAATAAAATCCTGACTGGTCCCAATAAAAAGTGTAACTCTTTGTTACTACTATTAGCAAAAGCCTCCATTTGACTATTGAAACTTCCCCCGTTAAAAGCACGGCTATTGGTGGGAAGACGAAAGCAATATAAGTAGCAGGCGGAGTAAGGGAGAAATAAAAAGTTGTCGATAATAGCCATTAAGAAAAATGAATATCACAAGACCCGCTTTCTCATCCAAAATCCTCTAACTTGTCTCCGTTTCAATCACAAAGACTGGCCTGCCTAACCACAATTTTGGACCCTTTCTCCATGGTGATGATTGAATCGGCTTTGCATTATTCATAAGTGAAGAAAAATCGCTTATATACCTCCATTTGTTTCTTAAAAATCCCTTACTTGAATGCGTTAGCCTTGGTAAAATAATGAAATCAATGTAACAAAATCATATTATGAGCTGTGCTGTTAACAGATCCTCTGTTGAAGTAACGGTAGTGAACTGCCTGTTTGGGGGCTTTTAACGCAGAACTTCTCTGTAAAACAGGACTTGCTGCAACATCGCTACATTTAAGACCCAGAAGGTAAAAGTAAACTCGCGAGATACTTTAAAGACAACTTCTTCGATTAACTTTTCGTTAAGGTTACCAAAGGACCTCGAGTTCTTTTAGATCGAGAGTACCAGCCGTGTGTGAGGATAACGTAACCGACTTAACTAATGGTTACATTGTGAACTGTATGAGAGGACTAGAGGTCAACTACTACTGATACTTTCTGTTAAAATGATAACCGTCCGATTCCGACATCTAGCACCTAACCCAAAACGAGCTACTGTGCCAATTGTTGCGACCACGAAACTCACACCACACAACCTTAATTTTGACCAATAATAAATTCCGAGGTGACTATGTCAGCAGGCCTCCCGTAATTGATGTCAGTATACGACGTCCACTCCCGAAAATTTCCAAATCGAAAAATTTAGTACCGATGGAATGAAGTCCGTTTCATCTGGTTAAGCTATGAGTGAACTGGTAAACTGCCGACATCAATGATTGCACTACAAAAAAGCAACGCTGAAGGAACAAACATGGCCCGCACAGATTGCCCTCCACTGTCGACACCAAATACTCTATCCGTCTGCTCGATTTTGAACAAAGCGCTTCCAAGAGAGTGGCTACCGCCATAACTCTTAAGCAAAGGCTTCTAGTCAAAGTTGCAGATCTTAAAGTGAGCAAAATGGCGAAACCAGTGCTAATAAACCACGTCGTAAATTTTAAAACAGGCAAATGATAATCATCAGCGACAACATAAACCAATGCTTGGGTGTTTCAAATCGCCACCCTCTTTTAAATGCTGCCACCACTTACTTGGACTTTAGAATGATAAAGCAAATTATTAAGTAAAACAACACGAGGAAGATGGAACGAGTGACGATCATAATTGAGTACCAGTGACAAAACAAAAGATCAGGCAGCAAGTGAGAGCGATTCGAAGAAAGCAGCAGTGCTGTCGCCGCTACCGCGGGGGCGGTCGGGGTGGTCGCGGAGGTGTACGGGTGGGGAGGGGCGTAAGACAGGGAGTAGAAGCGAGGGCCTCGTCAGGCTTCAGCTGATCTATTAAATTGATCGACTGCGACTTTGGAAGCAGGGTGGGCGGGGCTGGAGGATTCTCCGGCATCGGTCCAAGGCACAGCACGTGGGGTGTGACCAACTCTCTCGGATCTAGGTAGACAGTGCGTTTCAACGTACACGTTTTCCGCAGCTGCGCCACGCGCTCAACCGTGCGCCTCTCGTTGGCGTACAGCTCGCTCTCCGTTGTGGCCAGCAACGCTTCCATATCGTCCAGTCTACGTGGAAATGGGATGAATTTGCTGATCAAATGGATGTCCAAGAAAAAAATAATGAGGAATGACATTTAAGCATTCCAGAAGAGGAGTTAGAGTAGTTTGCCCGCCACTCTTGCGATGACATCTTCAGGTAACATGACATATCAAATACAATCCACTTTCAACCAGTGAGATAAGCGCCTATCAAACGTAAAACCTCGGGACCAAAGCGTGGTAGTCACGCCAACGAAGTAAAAAACCCTAAAGGTCTAAATTCGCATCTTACAGCACATAAGGTAAGCACTTTCGTTGCAACTTATTTTAAAATTGAAGAAACCATTTCACCTGGTACAAAAGCCCGAAAAGTGGAGACAGTGACGACTCACAAGAGTACAGAGCCATCAAACACCAAAGTCATATTATCAAAGCACGAAGACGCACGTGCACACCCATCAGTCAGTAATGGAGGCCGTAGATTGGAGAAAAAAATTTATCCGGTATGTCGTCACACCGACATCACGCGTTTCCTTGCTTCTTTCTATCTATTACGGCAAAATTTGATAGTTGTACCGAAATCAATTGCATAAGTATGAAGTACATACCTTCTTAGCACATGGAATCCAAAATAGTTCCAAATTTGACATCGTGCCCACACTAACTCCCCGCATATAGTTCCCAATCAACAGTGGACGATGATGTATTGATAAATTCTCTCAAATACGCCTTCTCTTTTAAACCACTTGAGCAAATACTTCGATCAAGGCACTAGAAAGACTATAGTTGCGAATGGGAGCTGGATCAACTACAATGATGGGAAATCCTATTGACACAATAAAAGGCTTCAAGCCAGTGTTTGGATCTTATGTTCGAACTTTTAGTTCATTTGTCCAAAGCTTGACAATAAATTCCCACTTGACGATTAAATCTATTACGCTCGTGTGGATAGGGCTGAAACGCGTGGCCGTGGTAAAAGCGCTACTCCTTCCCCAAAAGGATAATATTGTCCCTAATGCGTTTTAAGTGATAGCTAATAAAAGCTGAGAAACAAAGCTACCGTGCTTGCTTAAAGGCATTAGCGTCCAACAGCAGTTTAATGCCACCTCGAGGAATGGAAGGACGACGGATGAAGTAAAGTGGAAAAATAAATTTTAACTAAGGATTCATTTCAATGACTTCTGGTAAAATAAAGACATCCCATCTGCATAAATTTTAGACATCTCATTGGTGGACAGGAAGATGGACGATAAAGGCCAAAACTACTACAAATAGTGTGTTTAATTGACCATTACAGTCGATAGATCAAAACTTTAAATAAAAGAAATGAAATAGCGGTTTCAATTCTTCACCAATGTAAATGAATTGAAGAGAGACTAACACAAAAGCATCTGCGAATACTGCGACCTCATAAAGCTCCATAACCGGACCGAAGTACACACACAGCACACATGAACACACATCTGCAACAGGGACGCTGGCAGATTTCGAGCAGGAGTAGATCCAGAAAAACCAGTACTGATCAAACGTCTCTAAACGAATACTGGAGCTCATATCATCTAAATAACATCAAAATTTAAAGAAACCCCCTAAATAAACATTCGTCACTTTTAACAATTTGATCTTTATGGAACTAGGTATGAGAGCTAAATGATTCAATCAGCGTGATTAGGAAATGCTTTTTGACATAAAAAGAATTTCTTAATACCACAGTTAACTTGATAAAGTATGAATTTATTGCAAATCGACGCGTTCGCCGCGTACGCTTGTTTCGAGAGGCTTAAAACGGAAATCGCTAATGTAAACAATACGATTTTGTACAAATAATTTATGATCCTTGAGTTGTAAGAAGCGATTTTTAATTAAGCGTGCAAATTTGTGCTACGTGAAAGATTCTGACGTGGACGTGGTACGAAGGTAGATGTGAATAATGTGAACACCCTCTTGTAAACGAGAGGATGATGAAAAAGGTCATTCAGAGGCCAGGAACCGGACGCATAACTTTTAGCAGTGAAAACATTTTGGAGACGGTGTCTTGATAGTGATGACGAGGTGGATATAGCTAAGGAGAGGGTTCCTTTTTGGGTAAGTCAGTAGTCAATACCGGTTATACCTATCTTTTTGGGGTGTAGTGAGAAAGCTAACACCAAAAATCAGAATACTATCAAGAATGAAAAGGTAATACCTAGATTAATCTAATGCTGGTATACGGAGTAATGCGAAACCTATGAGCTTATGAAACTGCGGACGATTCTGTGCATCAGAAGTGAATGGTAATTCACAGATGCGAAATTTGTGAAAATGCCATAGAAGCAACGGTGTTCTTGGGATTATTCAGAATTAAATCATTATGAGTGAAAGTAGTAATAGCATCTATCCAACTTAGATGTGCCATACTTCTGATTTATGGTTCTGGACTGCCATTTGAAGAACTTTTGGAGGAATTGAGTGGAAGTGAAAAATTAGGTTATCTATAACAGATGAATAAGGCTGCTTAAAGAACTAAATTACCTCCAAGGCAGCACCACCATCAAAACAATTAAAAATGAATTTAGTGACACTTTCATAACATAAACAAACCACGTGTACGTGAGGTAGAGTGCAGACTAATCGTAGGCTTACCAGATTGCATAGGAACAAAGCCAGAGGCTAACAGCTGACTATCTTATTCCCCCCATCTAAATTATAATTGTAAGACAATCTAGAGCGTTGCGTATCATTAGAGGGATCAATTTAGGCATTGAAAAGATATTGGAGCCATACCTTAGACCATTCGTAAGATCCTCAAGCAGAGTAGAGGACTAAAAGCCGATAAGTTTCAATTGTAAGAGACCCCATGGCATAAAACTTGGGTGAGGAAGTTGTTCAGCTGCGAACAAATTAAATGTCGAATTTCCTTCCAAGAAAGCTAGGACAATGAAAAGTGAATACTAAGACTGGAAAAATTTCAAACTCAAAACAACACAAGGTATGAGATGCGTCCCAGCAGTGTTCTAAAATGAAAAATTTTTGCACTGAAATCATGAAGAAGAGCTAAACCTAGCCTAATGATAATTTAGTTTAAAAAAGTAGGCAAAAACCTAATATCATTACTCAATCCAGTTTCAAAGATTTAAAAAAGTGACAAACGCTTCCACTAGCAAAAAAAGTAATAAAACGACGCTTCATAAATTGCTCCCAAAAATTCGTAAAAAGCAGGAAATTTTACTAGACTAGAGCAACTGAGCTATAGAAAACCCCTTATCAAGCATCCGTTGTGCACCATGTACTTGAAATGTGAATGAAACAAAGTGTGGGAATAAAAAAGTGCTCAGTGGTTGAAAATCATGAAATAAGGGTTAGACTTTTAAAATCCAGAGCGTGCAAAACAGTTCCGAAAACGGGAATTTTCAAAGCAGAAATAACAAATACGGCTGATAAACCAGTAAAAATGCAGTGATTTAAGCAATACACAGTTACCGGGCGTATATACATATGTATACATGTATGCAAAAGGAATTTTGTTAAAGGAGAATTTG